GATGATCCAGTTCCGGCAGCAAAGCGACCATGCACTGGAAAGACGAACTCAGTCCCAACACATCGACCACCCAAGTTCTTAATGTCAAGACGGGGGCAGATGCATAACGCAGCTCGTACTACACCTCAGGCATACTCTTTACAGTCGAATGCCTCGAGGATTTGCCAAAGATGCGGCAAGAATCATGCTGGACGATGCAATATTGAACCATCCAGTGTACGATGTTTTTGTTGTGGCGAGGTGGGACACGTTCGTACAACTTGTCCGCGAAAGGAGGAAGCATGCTACTCATGCGGGGTTCTTGGGCATAAACAGCGAAACTGCCCACGAGGAAAAGGAGCAGAAAGCAAAGCGTCGGTACAACGACCGACTGGGACTACAACCTCCGTTCAAAAAGAGGAGGTACCAAAGGTGCATGTGCGGGCATTCCAGATCACTGCAGAAGAAGCACGTAACGAGCCTGATGTCGTGACTGGTATTTTTCTTCTTAATGATCGACCTGCACGTATACTATTTGACTCTGGGGCAACTTATTCTTTTGTGTCGCATTATTTTACCCGATTCTTAGAGTCTATGCCTTCAATGCTTGATGAACCATTCACTGTTAGTACTTTCAACGGAGAACTTTTGGATGCCGATAAAGTATATAAAGATTGTGTGTTAATTCTTCATGACTTTATTGGTCTTTTGTTTTTGTACATATTGATCTCTCGATTACGAATTCTTCCAAAGTGTCGGTAGGTTTGGATATCCATATATTTCGTCGGTATTGTTTCTTTGATTTCTTGTGAAACCGGAAGTACGGRGATTACTTTGTGTGATCCRTCYCGAAAACGGTGAATGTCAACATGCCGGTGAAGGGGGAGGAACCGGTGAGACATTCTAGTCGTTCTCGTTGTCTGTTGGCCGTACTCGGTGCCTAATGTGAAGAGGGGCACGAGTACAGGGACTCGGGCATACCCGGGAGATGAAGGCGGGCTCCCTGCCAGTCCTAAGCATTGTATTCCATGAACCATAGGAGCTCGAGCATACCCAGTGACGTTGGGCTCCCTGCTAGTCCTATGTGTTCCATTGTTTGGTTATTCCGACATGTTTCTTTAGACCGTTTGACTAACGTATGATATTAGTCCCTTGCAAAGWAATTGACCTGGTATCATTTGATAATTRCTTGTAWTTTGCATTTCGWAATAAGCATGTTATGTCATGTGAATTGTTGGATTCCGGCACTTGGTCTTTGGTTATATTATGGACAACCCTTATTTCGTAAGTGTTACTCTCAATTTATTATTCATTGATATAACCATTCAATTGGTTGGTTTATGGTTCCCGTGTATTTGTATAGACTTGATTTCAATAACATTTGTTTAGACTATTTATCTCACTAAGCCATATGCTTATTCCGTTAGTTCACTTTTTTTTCAGGAAAGAAAGAAGATAAAGGCAAGAACCCGGTGTAGTTAGTTCGTGATTAGTTTGGGGATCGTTGCCAAACCTTGGTATATATATACAATTATGTCTAGTTTCTATTTTGGGTTGTAAATATATCCGGGTAGTTATTATGTTGTCCCGATTTTTGGTTGGAAAATGTTTTAATTATAAGATTGTAAGCTTTCGTTTTGGATTTGGAAATACTTATTAAAGTATAATTAGCTTTTGGTGGTTTACTTAGGAAATGATATCTCGTATGTTATGTTTTGGTGAAATCGTAACCGAAGTGTTACAAACAGCGCATTTAATACAATAAAAGTAACTTACAAAATGAAAAATTACCTATGTATCCTTAATCATTAACTCTAACATGCGAAATAACAATTAATGACTAGAGAATGATTATGATCAGTCCAACGGGTTCACATATTTTTTGGTTGAGAAAAGATCCTCCTTATACATGTGTGTATACGGCCAGGTTTAAATTGAAAAGCATTCAATTTACGAGAAGGTGAGAAACAATCTAGACCACATAATTAGGGGTGTAATGATGTGAGTCGAGCTCGAGTATCATTATACTCGACTCGAACTCGATAATCATTTTTCAAGCTCGAACTCGACTTGAAAACTCGCGAGTAGTTAAAAATTAAACTCGACTCGAACTCGATTGCAATTTTGTAAACTCAAACTCGAGCTCAAACTCATTTGAAGCTCGAACCAAGCTCGAACTCATACTCGAATCAAACTCGAACTCCTACTCGAATCAAGCTCACCCATCGATATTTATGAAATTTTAAGGTTTTCTCTTATAAATTATAAAACTTAAAGATGTTTTTTTTTTAATTTTAAAAAACTAAAGAAATGCACTCAAACTTCATCATCAAGAAGACAAAGTTACAAACTTTTTTCACATCTCTCTCTTTTTACAACAACTCTCCGTCATTCTTTTATTATCTCTCTTCCAATGTGGGACAACTTCACCAAAACTTCTATAACTTTTTTGTCTTTTTTAATTATGATTTTAATATAAAAAATTATTGATATAGTTTTCATAATTAAAAATGCACAATACTGTTCAAATATTTAAAAATATAAGACACTTTTATTACATTATATTATAGATTTTATGTTATAAAACTGATTATATTTTTAAGCCCTGTATATTTGTTCTAGATGCAAAAGGTTTTAAGCCACCATAAAAACAGAAGCAACCATAAAAATAGAAGCGAAATGTGAGTATAGTAAAAGAATATAAAATATGTTACAAACAAAACACCGTGTCTATTCCTACCATCTACAGCAGCACAAATTACCCAGTCTTAGTCTTGGGTGTAAAATTGGGAAAAGAAGGTATATACAGACCTCATGTACAATGACATTACCATGTATATACATACCTCATATGCACTTCACTATGTACAATTTTTGATACTGTTTTGGCAAGGTATGTGAAAAAAATTCCATAGAGACATAAAGCCTATATATTTATTATTTTTATGCCCTGTATATTTGTTCTAGAAACAAAAGGTGTTAAGCCAACATAAAAACATAAGCAACCATAAAAACAGAAGCAAAATGCGAGTAGAGTAAAAGAATGTAAAATATGTTACAATTTGTGATACTGACATTACCATGTATATACAGACCTCATATGCACTTCACCATGTACAATTTGTGATACCCTTACCCAAATAGATATGTGGTAATTTGTGATACCCTTATCCAAATAGATATAAACAAAAGTGCAATCAAACGTAATCAGAAGTAGAGGAGCGACATATTGCAATCAAACATAAACAGAAGCAAAATGCGAGTAGGGGAGCGACAAAATCAAACAGAAACGTAAACAAAAAGGAAAACATGAAGATTCGAGTAGAGGAGCGATGGATGACGATGGAAAGGGAACGATGAATTGATATATATGAGACGACATCGATGGATTGAATTGTCATCTTGGGAAGATCAATCTAAACCGTCATCTTGGGAAGGTAAAAGCAAAAGGGAGACGGCAACGATGGATTGCTATATCTGTATGTATAGTTGGGAACCTAAAAAGTGAGACGACATCGATCATTTTTTTTTTAATTTTTTTAATTTAAAACTTTAAGATTAAGATAAGATAAGATTAAGACTTTTAAGACATTTATCAAATTTGGTTAATAAGGTAGTATAGATAATAAAGATAATAATTAATTTTCTTGATTTAAATATGTTAATTGAAAATTTGTAAAAATATAATTATTTAATAGGGTAAATTGCATGAAAAAATAACGTACTTTCAATTGATTCCTATTTTGGATAACGTACTTTCAAAACTTCTATTTTGGTACCTAAGATGTAAAGTTTTAAACATTTAAATACCTGGATAACCCAGTGAAAACTAATTTTAGACTAAAAAAACTAATTTTAGATTAAAAAAATTCACGTCACTGACTAGGTCAACAAATAATACCGAGTTGGATACCACATCATTCGTCACATCACTTTAACCAATTATCCAAATACTTAAATGTTTAAAAATTTATATCTTAAATATCAAAATGAAAGTGTTAAAAAACGTTACCCACAAAAATACGTTACTTTTTCATGCAATTTGCCCTATTTAGGGGGTGTTTGGATAAGCTTATTTAAAACAACTTATACTTTTTTGTAAAAGTGCTTATTAACTTATGCGGTATCAAACTGGAGTTTTGTAAAAAGTGTTTGGATTAGCTTATAGCGGTACCAAAATGCAAAATGAYCAAAAAGGACAGCTCATTTTTAGGTTATCTTCTACCCTATACCAGTTGATACGCAGGTAAAGCATCAGGTTCTATGAGTTGAAGAAAAAGGGTTCATATTTGAAACCCTAGAATCGTTGGAAGTTGGTTCGATCGATGATCTTCTGCTGTTTTCCGGTCGTTGTCTCCTTCGAATCGTTGTCTCCTTCGAATCGTTCTCTCCTTCGAATCGTTGTCTGCTGAAATCGTTGTCTCCTTCGAATCGTTGTCTGCTGAAATCGTTGTCTCCTTCGAATCGTTGTCTGCTGAAATCGTTGTCTCCTTCGAATCTCTTTTCCGGTGAAATCGTTGTCTCCTTCGAATCTCTTTTCCGGTCGTCGCTCCTCCGTTCGGTATAGAGAAAGAGTATGCACAGACGAAGGAAGAAGCAGGAGGCCGGCGATGAGAAACCAGAGGACTTGCCGGCGATGAGAAACCAGGGGAGAGACAGATGCGATGAGCGGCCTGTAGGGTTAAAAGGGTAATATGTCAAATAAGTCAAGAGGGAGTAACTTATCGGTTTGGCACCGGTATAAGCAGTTTTTTTTTCCACATCCAAACACTCAAAATAACTTATCGGCGGTTGTGGACTGAAATAAGTTGATAAGCACCTTAAATACTTCCCAAACACCCCCTTTAATATCACGAAATTTTCCTCTTATAGAAAGTGGGAAGGGGGAAGAATTACTCCATGAACGTTTTGTATGTTCTTCCCATGTCGAAAATTGGATTCAGAATAGCCAGCCAAATTCACAAATTTCTTCTACTGTTTTTGCAGCTAGGGTTTATCTCTATCGAACTGCATATGCCATATCAATGTATGTAAAGTGTGTGTAAAGGTATAATCTGCTTGGAGAATCACCGATGGAGGAAGGCAGTCGCGGAGGTAATGATGGTGCGTCGTCATCGTCGCCATTATTAACCGGTGGTGGGCGGCAGAGGTTTGAGGTGGAGTTGAGACCTGGAGAGACAACAATTGTGTCGTGGAAGAAGCTTGTGAAGGATGCCAATAAAGCTGCCAGTAACAAGAAGTCCCTTCCTGTACCGGCTCCTACTGTTGCTGTTAATCAAACCCTAGATTCTCTGAATGCCCCTCCTTTGGTATTGTTTCATTAACTTATCGTTAATTGTAATTAAATTGTTGCTTACAGTTCATGTGAAGGAAGTAGGAGTTTTATTGGAAATTGTGGTTTTATCTAGGATATTCGGTCAGCTGTTTCCTTCGCTTAATATTTACTTGTGATTGAAGAAGTTTAATGGATTCTTCAGAATTCAGTTAAGTTGGTGGCGTTTGTAACTTGAATGTTTACGTGGACAGTTGGGAGCTAGTAATTTGACAGGGTATTGTAACTATCATGATAAGTATAATAAACAGCAGCTTGAGTTGATTAAATTACAATGATTTGGAAGTATATAATCTTTTTATATTTTTTTCTTGAAAGTGACTTGCTGATGTCATTTTGGGTACTGATGTGTGATCATGCTAGAGATATAAGCAATTAGACTTCTAAACTTGCTCTAATTCTGTGCATGTGCATGATGTGTTTGTGAAGATAGGTAATGGTCGATGTCAATATTTCTGAAAAATTGGTCCGTTACAGACATAAACCTGTACTGAATACTGTAACCCTTTTTGGGTTTTTTGTTGCTTCTTTTTGGGTGATTACTGAATTTTCTTGTATTGTAACCTCGTGTGGTGACTTTCTTTTTAGCACTTAGTCAGATCCTGTTTTTGCAGGGAGAGTCTGCTGAAAATAAAGCCAATGATGCACCCCATGGTAGCCGTTTCAGTGCTGTCATTGAGAAGATTGAACGCTTATACATGGTATTCAATATCTTTATTATGCTACAAATTCTCTTATCTGGAAAATGATGAGGATGACATATCTAGTGGTCTTTCTGCATCATTTTTAGAACTACGGATTGGGATTGACAGAATTACATCGACCTGTTATGAGTAATGTTGTAGAAAATTCTTGTCATTGTCCTGAAGATGTCACATCTTATACTTTCAGGGTAAAAATAGTAGTGACGAAGAAGATCTTAATGATGTTCCTGATGATGATKAGTATGACACTGGAGACTCATTCATAGATGATGCAGAGCTGGTCTGTGAATCTCTCTTTTTTGTGTTATCTGCATAATAATTATGTATTTGCAGCACGACTAAATCACACTGTTCTTATCTCTGTCGAGGATCAGCAGTCAGTACAGTCTGCCTTTGGATTAATTGCCTTCTTTCTGTTCCACAGGATGAATATTTCCAGGTTGACAATTCAGCAATAAAGCATGACGGATTCTTTGTAAACCGTGGCAAATTAGAGCGCACAGTAGTTACTCAGTAAGTTTGTCTTGATTATAATTCTTCTACCATCTTTTAAGTGAATTATATTATTTTCTTACTTGTAAAAAATATCATGCTGCATCACTGTTTTAGTGGGGGAAAGGAGAGTTATTATAAAGTGAGTTCCATATATTGTTGAAGAGATGTGCGTGTTCAAACCTTTGTACTGATGACGGGTGTTCTACCTTTTGTAAACGTTCGATTTACATATGCTTCAATAACAGTAAAGTGTAACTTAATCTATCATCTTACTACAGTATGCACTGTTTATGATTCATATTTACGTGTAATGTACTTATGTTTGTGATCCATAATTTATGGGTGATGTACTCATGCTTGTGATGAATTGATGGGTGCTACATGGCATAATATCTGTTGTTGGCTTATTGAAACCTACTTATATGAATGCATTTCAACAAAACTTGGGCTTTATTTCATGCTGATTCCCAAATCAATAAGACAATTCTTGGCATGTTAAATTGATGAAAACATACATGCATTCTATAGGAGAAGTGAAGAAACAAAGAAAGACGAACAAGCAGAACCTGCACTTTATCTTTGTTCACCTTTATCTGTTACTGTTATAACTATTCTGATTTTCCTTCCATCACTTTCTACTTCTGTCATGGATTGTCTTTTGCTTTGTAAAAGCCTGAGTTTATTGTTTAAATTACTTGGGAGTGGGCACTGCTTTTGTACTTGTTTCTGACTTCAATCTGTTTATCTTGGTAGGAATGAGCCTACTGCTTTGCCAAGCCAGCAACCAAAAAAGAGGAGAAGGAAAGATTCAGCAAAAGTTTATGGTTGCAATGATGATGGACAGTTGAATAATCTTAAAGTTAATAATAAGGCAGCTGGAAAGGTTGTGGCACCAGTAGACAAAAATTTTACCATTTCATCTCAGAGTAAATCTTCATCAACTATAAATTTTGAAGATATAAAATATCAGGACCTGACGACAGCTCTTGAAACTGTTGTGAAGAAATCTTCTGACTTGAGAAATGTAGTTGATCCATCATGTACAAGTATTTCAAATGCTGAAGCTATAATGATGACAAATAACATTGACAAGCAGAAGGCCGGAGTCCTCCAACACAAAGACTACGGTAGTAAATTGCAAGATGGAAGTCCCTCCTCCATGGTTCAGAGGTCTGATGACAAGAGCTCTCAGGTGCAACCAAAATCTCAATACGGACTATCATTTAACAACTCCGAAGAGTTGAATCGATCACTAGCCACGAGAGAGAAAAATGTGATTCGTGAACAGTCAGAAGCCAAGGCCAATGAGATAACTCCGCAAACTAAGGTGATTATTCTTTCTCCATACCTTCTGCATATTCATTCAACATCAAGTATTTACATCTTTATATGTAAAAATTTGCATGTCTTGTTCAAAGATGTAACATATACTTGCACATGTGAATATTAAAAAGCTGTGTACACTTAATGTACCAGTAGATTTAGCTGAAAGGACTAGTGAGCTCTTTAAAATGGTGGCATTGCAGAACACGATATTATGTTTCTCAGTAGCATTATGGTAGATTGTAAAAGACATATGTTTCTCACTTGAATTTTGGTATATCATAAACACATTGAAATTTGGACAGCTGGTATCATATGACTTTTTAGTTATCAAGGCAGGACTGCATTCGTGACAATACATTTAATATTTATATAAGCAGATTTTATTTCATATTGTAGAAATTTAAATATTAAATATGTACATTGTTTGTATTCTGTTATTTGGTTCTTTACAAGTGTAAAGTTGCTACAACTTTGTTTGTGGACTTCAGAACCGAAACTTAATGTTGCCTTGATATGTTAACAGAATTTGAAATTGAGTAATGAAGTTTTAGGAAAATCGCCAAGGAACTGCAGTTCTAGATAACAATTTGTTTCTCATTTCTCCTTGAATATGTAACTCATATTCCTCGCTAACACTTTCCTTCTCTATATTTGTTTTTCTATAGAATGAGAGTTTTTATTGCCTATTTCATATGGTTTTATATACAGACATTGAGCATATAGAGATGTTTTTGTCTCATCTATGTATGATATGATAAGGTAAGCTGGATATGACACAATGGTGCGAGGCATTGCCATGGAGCACAAATTCTTTTTCCTCTATTTGATACTACGGGTGCTGATTGACATCTTTCTCAATTTCTAGTTGCCATTCTGTCCTTGCTTTCAACAGACAATCAGAGTTTTTCTCTAGAGTTCTATTGCCAATTTGGTCTTAATTTCAATTTATGTGTTGTTACTCTATCTTTCATATAAAATTGTATAATTTCAGTTCCTGTGCCTCTTCTATGCATTTCAACCTATTTTCCTGTTAATGTATATTTTTTTACCCGGGACTACAAGTTTTTTTCCTTTCTGCAACTTCTAGTTTTGTATCTAAAAGAAAGAAGAGGTGGATACCAGACATTGAGCTAACAAAGATGTTTTCTTTTCTATGACTCACTGATGTAATATAGGAAAAAAGGAGTGTCAGTGGGGACATGACACAATGGTATAAGGCGTTGCCATGGATCACTGATGGTTTTCTTCTTGCAATACTAGGATTACCGTTTGACATTGTTTCTCTGGATCGATGTTTCAGCCTTCCTTTTAACCTCCAATGGACAGTCATTACTTTGATTCCAAGTTTGATTGACTTGGACTTTATTTTCTGCATTTTACCCCAGCTATCATTTTTAATTTTTAGTTCTAATGGCACTTCTTCTCTGCTTCATGGTTTATATTTCCTGTTCTATATTTGCTTCTTTATGGAACTACAGTTTTTATTCTTGTCTGTTACATGTAATTTTGTATCTAACAGAAAGAAGAGGTGGATGACAGATGTTGAGCATCAAAAAATGTTTTGTCTCAGCTTTTCTTCTAAATATGTTTTGTCCCACATAGCTAAAGACAAAGTGAAAGCATTGCCATGGAGCACAAATTCTTTTCCTCTATTTCGTACCACGGTGCTGTTTGACATCTTTCTCAATTTCTAGTTGCCTTTCTGTCCTTGCTTTCAACTTTCAACAGACAATCAGAGTTTTGCTCTGAAGTTCTATTGCGAATTTGGTCTTAGTTTCAATTTATGTGTTGTTACTGTAGCTATCATCGCAAAATTATATAATATTAGTTCCTATGCCTCTTCTCTGCTTTTCAACCTATTTTCCTGTTCTATATATTTGTTACCTGGAACTACAAGTTCTTTTCCTCTCTGCAACTTCTAGTTTTGTATCTAAAAGAAAGAAGAGGTGGATGCCAGACGTTGAGCTGACGAAGATGTTTTCTTTTCTATGATTCGTTGATGTAATATAGGAAACAAGAAAGGAGTGTCAGTGTGTGATAACCGGGTTCTGGTTATGCATTTGAGGTAAAATCTATGTGATTATTTGATTATGTGAATACGTGCATATTTATGTATGAGAAAATATGTATGCATGAGATTGTTAATATGCATGTGTATGCATGACTTATATTGTTAACATGCATGAAGTTTCGAAATATGCATGTATGTGTGCATAAAAAATAATTATGCCGGATTAGGGAGGTGTGTGTATGTATATACAAGGTATTTGTGGAAAAAGAGTTTTATATTGTTTCTTCAGCACCGCCTCTTTTAGAAAGGATAAGAAGAAGCTATTATATATATATATATATATATTCTTTTCTCAAACCGCCTCCTAAGGCAATATAAAAAGGGAACTTGCTTTTGAAGAAGGTTATCTTCAAAATTTGAAAAAAGAAAATAGTGAGAGAAAAAGTGTGATTTTCTTCTAAAAATTCAGAAACTGGAAATTGGGGTTTGAAGTTGAAGCAGTTTCTGTTGTTGTTTCTATTGCGTATAAGGTGAGTTCTTGTTTTAAATAATCCAGTCTTTGAACTTGTTAAGGGTTCAGATTTTGTGCGAAGCTGTTGGTAAACTTGTGCAGTTGATATGTATTCATTTTCTGGAAATTTAAAGGTTGAAGAGAACCTGTAATCGGACAGTGTTGTCCGATGAGGATTTATTGTTGATCAAAGTTTTATTTGATAAAAATGGTTTCCGGACGGTATTGTTCGATGAAAGTATGTTCAAACCATTTTGGATTAAAAAGAGTATTTTTGTAACTTTCAAATGAGGTTAAAAATCTGGAAAAGATACTGTTTGGATTTTCTTTCAAGACGGTTGTGACATGAGGTCTGTTTTGAAAGAAATGAGTTTTCAAATGTTTCTTCAGGACGGTTGTGACTTTGATCTGTTCCGATACGAAACTATTTTGAGAATGTTTCTACGGGACGGTTGTGACTTCGGTCTGTTCCGGTATGAAACTAAATAAGTTTTCAAATGTTTCTACGGGACGGTTGTGACTTCGGTCTGTTCCGGTATGAAACTAAATGAGTTTTCAATGTTTCTACCAGACGGTTGTGACTTCGGTCTGTTTCGGTATGAAACTAAATGAGTTTTCAATGTTTCTATGGGACGGTTGTGACTTCGGTCTGTTCAGGTATGAAACCATTTTGAGGCCATTATTGGCTAAAACTACAGATTCATCTGTAGATTTGAGGAGGAAATAAGGGTGGCTTATTAAGGAGAGGTGTACCATGGGATAAGGGTGACATATCAAGGAGAGGTGTACATCTGGATAAGGGTGGCATTTGGGTAACTCTTGTTACTATATCAACAAGAGATAATAGCTCTGGTTAACATTTCTCTATGACTTGGGAACTTAGAGATATTGCTCTTATTAAAATAATAACATGGATGTTATTGAGAAGGGGGAAACAACTTATAGCCAGAGGCATTATTTGCCGATGATTTCAAATGATTTTAATGAAATCAGAGTATTTGGTTTTATAATTGATTGGGGGAAACAAGTATTTGGTTGGAACCAAAGGAACCAAAGGAGCTCTGGTTGGTCTGTAGGACAGACCAGAGGGCTTCTGGGTTGTATGAGAAATCTTTTCCAAGTATGTACTCGGGACCAGGGGGCTGTGGTTGGTTAGTAGTACAGACTAGAGGGCTTCTGGTTATGCGGTAATCTTGTGTTTTCAGAAATATTGTGATCCATAGGCTCTGTATGTACTATACAGAGGCTCTGTATCGTAAAGTTGGTCATGCGTTTAGTCTTTCAAGTGTTTTCAAGATTTACATGACTCAAAGGCTCTGTATCATGAAAGTTGTGTTCTTAAGTGTTGTGACCGAACTCTACGTTCAAGAGTGGAGTCTAAGCTCTGTATCTAAATATGGTGTCTGAGCTTTATGTTTGAGCTCTATCTTTTGAAACGTAACTTATTATAATATCTTTCAAGTTTTAACCTTTTTAAATATCTCTTTGCAAATAAAACAACATCCAAAAAGTCTCTAGTTAAGTGGAAGCCTTAGTTATTTTTAGGGTATGAGTCCAGAAGCTTTGGTTGGTAGGACCAGAGGCTTTGGCTAATTTGAGGAGTTAGTTTAATAAAAGAACTCTATCCCTTAGAGACAGAGGAGCTCTGGTCTTTTAGTAACCAGAGAGGTGTTGGTCCTTAAGAGCCAGGGAGCTCTGACCAGTTGAACCAGAGGAGTTTTGCGTTTATAATTGATACATTGGGGAGTGTATATATCTGTATATGTGAAAAGATGATTTTGAAGTTTTGGTGATCTTCACCCTGTAATTGCAAAGAAAGGGTTATCTCACTAGACCTTTCCGTCTAACCCTCAATTTGTGTTTTAAATATGCATTGCAGGACGAGCAGGGTCTCGAGATGTTAAGGGAAAGGGGAAAATATGATTATTTTCCTTATATGCTTATCTGCTGTGTTTTGAAGAGCAATCTATTATTTTGAAGATACATGTAGTCATACATGTGATAGTACAGGGTTATTCTTTTGGAATTTTTCAGTTGTAGATTCTATAAATATAGAAACCTTGTACTAGTGGGACCAATATGGTGAAATTTGTATTTCTTTGATATGAAATATATGTTATATGCAAATGTGGAATATGGGGTGTCACACAGTGGGAACATGACACAATGGTATAAGGCGTTGCCCTGGATCACCGATGGTTTTCTTCTTTAAGTATTAGGATTACCGTTTGACATTGTTTCTCCGCATCGATGTTCCACCCTTACTTTTAACCTCCAATGGACAGTCATTACTTTGATTACAAGTTTGATTGACTTGGACTTCATTTTCTGCATGTTACCCCAACTATCATTTTTAATTTTTAGTTCTAATGGCACTTCTTCTCTGCTTCATGGTTTATATTTTCTGTTCAATATTTGTTTCTTCATGGAAGTACAGGTTTTATTCCTGTGTCTATTACATGTAAAATTTTATCTAACAGAAGAAGAGGTGGATGACAGATGTTGAGCATCAAAAGATGTTTTGTCTTATCTTTTCTTCTAAATATGTCTTGTCCCACAGAGCTAACGACAAAGTGAAAGCCTTAGGAATCTCATTCTATTTTCAGCCTCGCTGATTCTCAACTTATATATGTAGTCTTAGGAAATGGCATGTAGATCCCTCAATTTGTAATTTGTTTTGTAACATTTGTTGCATTGTATATAAATTCTGTTTTTGAAATAAAAATCCGTACACGTAATGTTTTGTATGGAACTAGCAAGTAATAGCTTGTCACTCTAGAATGATTGTAGTGCTGTTGAATGCAATTTATGTATAGATATACGGATGCATGTATGTTAGTAACATTTTATTTTTTAGCAGAAGAACCCACTCATGGCAAGAAAGGAAGGCTCCTATACCAAACCTAAAAGTACAATGCTTGAGAAAGCTATTAGGGATTTGGAGAAGATTGTAGTGGAATGTATGTCCGACTATCAGTTGACAATCATCAATTCTGTTTAACATTTCAGAGAGATGCTTCTCTTCCTTCTTCATCACTTATAATATTTTGTTATCATGGCAGCAAGGCCACCAAGTATGGAGGTTGCTGATGCTGACGGTTCATCTCAGGCTGTCAAAAGGAGAATGCCTCCTGAAATAAAGCAAAAGTTGGCTAAAGTTGCTAGACTGGCGGTAATGGACACCTAACTTTTTATTGGTATTCTTAGTGGAACGACTGGTTACTTGTCTTCTATAGTTGCTCTTCTTTTTAACATTTTACCGAAGGTGTAGAGAATTTAAACGTTACAATTGTTGTGGTTGTAGCATGCGATACATGGAAAAATCTCAAAGGAGCTACTTAATCGATTGATGAATATCGTTGGTCATCTGATACAGCTCCGATCATTGCGGGTATAGCATTTATGGTCACATTATCGACATATTATATACTGAATATATATATATATATATATTTTTTTTATTCTTTGATATAGTTTTGGTACTCTCTCTCTCTCTCTGTGGCAATCCATGGCCAACAGTGGATATGGATGTTTTACACTGCTCAAATTGCAATTTAATGTACCCTATTTCATGCTACAAACCCGATTGTTTTGATAAGCAGACCCAGAAGCCACATGCTTTGGAAGAAGCCTGTACAATTTGGGAAGGGGTTTTGATTGACAGAAAAGAAGCATCTAACATATGCTATTAGGCACGGCCATATGAACATAAGAAATCACATATGGTGTGGATGTATGTGTACTACAGTGCACTCCGTGTTCAATCTAGTCTGCAGAAACCCATGTAAGTAGGAATCAGGCTAGGTAATGGACAAACATCTGTCCTGTAATTGTTGCAAACATATTATTGGAAACCATTTACAATTTGATAGTCAGATCTTGTCAACCTTTAAGAATTACGTAGGAAATGGGGAATAGCAAGTTATCTCCTGGTAGTCATTTTGATCCTAAGCAACTTAAATCTCCTTTAGCTTCTGGGGAAAAGGAGTAGCTTGTCTGTATATCCAAAGTGATCTCTATTTCTTTTATCCAAAATGAAAGAAACTTCTTGGCCAGATTGCCATGCTCTCCAATATCTGCAAACAGAAACTATTAGCACAAACACAGCCTAACACAGCCCTTTTCCCAAAAGAAAGACGGAACATCAGTTGAATGGTTGAACCTTCCCCACTAAGATATCTGGTATCAGAGTCTCTATTTGGCCAGTTGCATCGAACATTCACTTTTTCTGCCAGATCCCTCATAAACCAATTCAAAATCATGAAGAACTCACTTGCATCCATATTGATGGGTTGCAAAGTGCCCTAGAGTTCACTGTACCTATCTTGGTTGTGGTATTCTTCAATATGCAGTATGTGGAAATTACTGCCCTTGAATGCACCATGATAAGTTGCATCTCTTAATAATATGGGCTTACCCTGTAATACCTTATTTTTTTGACCTCGCTTTTAGTTTCTCAGTATCGTTCGATGATTTCCAACAGAGAAATCTAAAGAATATGGTTAATATGGGATTGTCTGCCAAAGAAGAGAAAGATGTCAGGATGCAGCAGTTAAAGAAACAAATAGATGAGATGGTTAAGATAAGGGCGCCCATGATGAAGTCCAAGGTACTATTAGTTGTGTTCTATTTTCTATCTGCATAACTTTTACTTTAGGAAAAAGAAACATGGTTGAGTAAATGTTCTGTTGTTATGTGGAGATGAGTTTTCATTGATAAAAATGTAACCTTGAATATGTTTCTAAATTTATGGTCATGCCTGCAACTGATACTTAGAACGCTATATATGGTTTGTACTTTGTTGTTAGTTTCAGGCTATGGGGCAGCAGGTTGGGGCATCTGATGATTTTCAAGAAACTGGGGCCAAAGAAAAGGAAGTCCTTAAAAGAAGAATTACCATGGATGATACATTAGAGGACAAGATATGTGACCTTTATGACCTTTTTGTTGAGGTAGTGCTTCATCCATATTTTCTTTCGGATAAACTTTTCCTTTTTTTCACTAATCATTAATTTATTATCAGGGACTCGATGAAGATTCAGGTCACCAAGTTAGGAAGCTTTATGCAGAGGTAAGCTGATCTCGAGACTAGTTAAGGATGTTTAAGAGTTGTTTTGTTTGCTTGTTTTCTTTTATCAAAAGCTTCAGCTGCACACATTTCACAACTATGAAAAAGTAAATTATGTCTTGTATTATCCAGTTTCTTATGCGTAAATCATGTTTCATTTTTACACTTCATGCTAGTTATTGTGTAACTTTTCGTACTGGCATGGAATGGCTGATGAGTTCAGCTATCATGTCTTTATCTGTGCTATCACAGATTTTGTATTCCATTCCAAAATAATCTAAAGTTTGATTGGACATATAGTTTAATAAGAATGCTTGACTTTGTCAAATTACTGAAACGGCGACAAAAATAAATGCAAGTTGTGGACCAAAATCGAAAATATCAAGTACTGATTACTAATACTTTTTCGTGAAATAGTCCCTCTGGCCCATAAAATCTGCAATGTTTGATTTATAAAGTTAAAAGTATTTGTTTGACTATTTGTCAAATATCTAAAATTACCCTACTTGTATATTTGACAGAACAGTGAATTTTGTGGACCCATATTAATACGATCAATTTGCATTTGTTTGTATTGATGATAATGAGAAAATAACATGAAAACATTCCAAATAAGCAAATATTGCGATTTTCATGAAAGGAAAGCATTGAAATATATATATATATATATATATATATATATATATATATTTATGAATTTGGACACATGAACATAATTCACTCTTTATCTATTGCTATTGCAGCTTGCAGAACTGTGGCCACAAGGTTTTATGGACAATCATGGGATTAGACGAGCAATTTGTAGGGCAAAAGATAGGAGAAAAGCACTACACAGACAAAAGGTATTGATGAGCAATAATGCTAAATCTTCATTTTTTTCTCTTCCATTATAACCAACCGGAGATGTATGTATGCAGACCTAACCTCTAGCCCAAGGATTAGAACAGCTTTTTATGTGAAGACCCTGAATCTTAAAATTCATTTCCCTTTGTTTAATTATTACCTCGCTGGCATCCGTAAGTTGCTGTGACTAGATTTGTTCTCTATTCTTGTGTAGGTAAGTAACTCTAGACGGAGAAATAATTATCTTATATTTTATATCTGATAAAGTTAGGAAATGAAATGGTAAAAGCAATCAGATAGGGGTCTTGAAATACACGCCTGACCTACCGCTAAAATTTAACACTTTTATTTATTTACCGCGTAAGATTTTAGTCCACTAAAACGACATCGTATGCAACAATTTACCCGGTAAGCGCTTACCGTGGTAAGAGTCGTCGCCCTCACTTACCGGGTAAGACTCTTGGTCCTTGTCTCGCTCTTATCGGGTAAGATTCTTGGTCTTTACCATATTCATGCAGTGAGGTAATGTTATTTGGTAAGCGCTTACCGAGGTAAGCGTTTGGTAAACGGCCTCTAATTAGCCGTTTACTATTGCTCTGAATGTTTGGTATTAAACTATGGGGCCGTTTGTCAATGCTAATTGGGTAAGAGTGTGTGCGGACTGAAAATGCGTTGTTTATCATTTATTTTGTAGCTAGTGTTTACTAATAAAATACTTCTATCATCTTGTGCTGACCTGGTAAGTGAATTAATTATGCTGAATCAATCAGATCAGTCTTTAGGTAAACTAGGTGATGCTGACCAAATCAGCACTGGTCAGCAGTAGGCTCTAACTCATTTTCTCTAGTTTGGTGTGAAGGATCAAGAGAAGTTGAAGAGGAAAAAAATTGTTGCTACAAAAACCAAGACTCTTGAATTAGAAGGTGGCTTTCCAACTGCAGCCATGAGGTCGATTTCCAACACTTCAGCCGCTGCTCCCAACAAGCCAAAACAAGAGAAGCTGAAGGGTGATAACAACGAGAGTGATGTAGCGCCATCGGAAATGTTGGTGAAAAGGGGGAAGAGGAAACCCGAGACCAAATTGTGTGAAGCCCAAATCCCACAAGAGAAAACTACATCAGCACAAGCGGAGGAAAGACACAAGTCCCGTAAGCAAATCATCCCAACCGTCACTGCAGCTCCTCAACCACCGTTGACATGAGCTCAACACGAATACACAAGTCTGATAGTTTCGATTCACATAGGTATTATTCGGTCGGTTTTTCAACTTTTTCCAAACTACCTAATAGCCTAACCGAAGAAGGTTCGGTTTAATCAGTTTGGTAACTGGGTGAATATGTAGTCGAGTCTATGTGGTTTTTTCGATGTGTTAGAACAGAGCTATCCGACCACCTCCAAGTTGTGATGGCCTTCCGAAAGAAAGAGCAGACGCCATCCTCACTGCACCAGTCGTCCAGTCTTATAACCATTATGGAGGTAAATCATTGGGTTTGAATCCGGGACCTCCTTTACGGATGCCCACCATACTACCACAACGATAACACGTGAAGATTGATGACCTTGTTTCGTGTGCATGAACCGGTAGCTCTGTTGTGAGTCGTGACAATTAAGGGTGTAAATGAACCAAGTCTGAGCTGAATTGAGTTGAGTTGCAGGTCAAGGCTTAAGCTCGGGCTTAAAAAAATAATATAAAGCTCGAGCTCAAATATCTTTATCAAAGTAGGGCTCGAGTTTTAACTCAAATATTTTTTGGAATATTTGAGCTCGCTTTTGGAGGTTTAGAAATATGAGTTATATGTAATACCTAAAATTCAAGCTTTATAATTTTAGTTACAGGCTCGAACTCGAGATTGATTAACTGGTTTATTCGTTCGAGCTTAATTATTTTTTTATATTTTGATTGTATGTTTTATGAATACTAAAAGGGTGTTTGCATAATATTGCGAGATATATCTCAATTTTATTGTTTCGTTTTATTATTTATCTTTGTTGATATAATACGGTTTTTAGTGGTTTTGAGAAAACGATAATGTTTTTATTTTTGAATAAAATCTAAATTTAAAGATATCATAAAATCTCAATTTAGCATGTTTACGAACGAACATAAACGAATACAAACACACCTTATTTCTAAACGAACGAAAACGAACACAAGTTAAACGAACGAACATGAACAAGCCTCCGTTCGTGTTCGTTCGGTTCGTTTACAGCCCTAAGTACCGATAAACAACTTCTAAACTTGTATCCGACGCATGTTCGTCTTTTGAAAACGGTCAATATATACCTAAAAATAATTACAAGAAGTATGGTTTTGGTTATTTGGGCTTTGTTTTGTTTGGGTTTTAGTTGCACCATTTGGATTTCAGGGAAATACGGTAGCACCTTCTAAAGCGATACGGTAGCACCGTTAACAAACCTAAATTTTTTACCTTTCGGCGGCGAAATAATACGGTGGCACGTGCCACCCATGCCACCACATCAGGTCCGCCCATGATCGCATCAACAGAATGCGATAACTTAAGTCATCGCATCACACATATGCGACAACTCAACGTCATCGTATCATAAGGATACGACAACAGTTAACAGTTTGATCAAAAACCCGTATTTTACATTCCATTGATTATGCCACTCTTATCATGGCATAAACCTCTCCTTGATATGTCACCCTTATTCCAATCATATGATATAATCATATCCAAACCAATTTATGCAAATTATAACATCAAAACAGTTTTATAATCATCCCTATGTAAAGAACCATACGGTTCAAATTTTAATACCATAAAAGAAAAGTTTGTAAAATAAACTCACCTTATTAATCACAAGAGAAGAAGATATGAAGATGAACAACAAGAAGTATTCAAATTCAATACCACAAAAAACAGCTTCTACTTGCTCCCTTTTCGGTTTCTGTTTGCTTGATCTCAAGAACACACACAGAGAAAAGTTTTCACCAACTTTTTTCTTATTTACTTCCCAAAACCAATCAGATAAAACAAATATCTCAAACAACCATCAATAAACAATATAACGCGGTGGATGAGTTTAAAATTTTATTTTAAGCATATTAACACATCAAGCCCCTCAATTTATTGTCACTTTTCAAAAACAATCCCGAGCTTTATAACCGAATAACTTATTATCACAGACATGTTATAACTAACATGTCCAATTTAGTTTGAAGTTTATTTTTTTACTTCTTAGACTACTTTTAATTATGCAATATGTATTTAGGAATTGGATGTATTGAAACTCTTTATTTTTTTAGACCATGGCCGCTTCATCGTCAATTTTATAATGTATTTCTGAATTTATAATGATTGGATTGTAGACATAAAGTATGATAGATACAAACTGCATAAACCGCACCGCACCACATTTTGTGGTGTGGTCTGGTGTGGTTTGAAGTTTATATTGTGCGGTTTGCGATTTGGAAAAATGTTCAAACCGCATATGTGGTGCAGTTTGGCCTAAACCACACTGGCGAACACCTCTAATGTGAACATGTCTAGCTTGAAGAAGTATATGCTCGACTTAATTTGGCTCTACTCGACTCGAAAAATTTAATTAAACTTTTGAACAAGTCGAGTTGAACATTGGTGTTATTAAGTTCGACTTATTAAAGTTAAACGATTTCTACGTTATGCTCGAGATCGACTCAAGCTCATAAATTATTAAGCTCAAACTTGAGTAACTTATTAAAAAAATACTTGAATCGGTTACGATCATTTGAATTTGTTGATAATGTAACGTTTGCCTTATTTAATAAAAGAATATAATTCATAATTAAAGAAAAATTATCTTGTAAAAGTAAGAAATGGGTGTAATTAAAGGGAAAATTTCACATCATAAAAAATAATTATAAAAAGTACGGTTTTTATAGACGTGTCTTTATGTTTTTACTAACGTTCAATATTGCTCGATGTATTTTTACCTAGTTGTTCAGTTTCAAGGGATTTTAAAGTTTTTTGCTTGATTTCGAGGAGTTTTTTAGTTTTTCTTTATCGATTTCGAGGGGCTTTTGAGTTTTTTTTCCGGTTTTTTTTTGTTGATTATGAGGTACGGTTGCACCTTCTTGAACTTTTGAATATCATACGGTGACACCTTCTAAAACGATATGATTGCACCTTTCATAAACGTAAATTTTTTAGCTTTTCGGCAGAGAGATAATATGATGGTACGTGCCACTGTATGCCCTTCTACGGGTCCATCCATGAGGAACATGCAATAAGAAGAATAAAATTGGAATATGTTATAAATTCTTAAAACTTTCTTGTTGGATGTATCATGTCGTAGATGCATGTACACCAAAATATAATTAGGGGAGGTTTACCAAACGTTTACTTGAATAAGTGTTTACCGGCAAAATTCAACACTACAATTTACTTACCGGGTAAGATTTTAGTCTACCAAAACGATATCGTATGCAAAAATTTACCCGTTAAGTGCTAACCATGGTAAGAGTCGTCACCCTTACTTACCGAGTAAGACTCTCAGTCCTTGCCTTTGCTCTTATTGGGTAAGATTCTCGGTCCTTGCCATATTCATCCGGTAAGGTAATGCGACTTAGTAAGCACTTACCCGAGTAAGTGTTTGATAAACGGCCGCAGATGCAACCACAAGATATAATTTTACCAATTTCTTACATAAATATGTTTGACGACATCATATATATGAAGTAATAACCCTTTTCTAGTATTATCAAGGTTTTTTTTTTTTAAATATAAATACTCGTTACAAAGTATTGTGTGAATATAGTTATACAAATTTTCACTTCATTTAATTCTTATTGATATAAATATCAAGAATTACACAAAGAAAACAAGATTGTTGCAGAATAGAAAAGATTAAAAATATTTTCTAACAATCTTATACTTAGAAAACAACACATAACTTTTGACACAAAGAAAAAGCTATGCTGAGGAGAGCTGCCGATTTTTCCTTTGTTCACATAGGAAGCCTTTTGAAAAACGCAACCTTGCGTAGAGCAACTACTCTCCCTTTTATACCACTTCATGCATTAAATATATGGGACATTTGTCACTTTGAGATAAGATGGCAGAGTTGACTTTGGAACCTTTTGGAATGTCCTTTTCATCATACATGTGAAAATGACTTCTTTCTTAAAAAAAAATTCTTGTCATTTCTTCAGATGTCACATCGAACTCAAATGAAGACAAACATACCTTTCAGGTGTTTCAGAGAATGTATTTTTCAAGGACAAGGTTTGGTTGTTTGTCAGAAGTTGTTGCAGGAGTATCCTCAAGTTGACCTATCGATAACTAGGAGAACTATCGTCAGACATACAATTCAGCAGAGGAATCGGCAGAAAGTTTGGTGTGTTTTTCAGGAGCAATGTCTTCTGTTCCACATCGGATGACACGCTTCCTATTATAATCGACTAGTCTTCGATTTGCCGAACATTTTGAGTATAACCAAACTTTTACAAAAAAACCATTAAATTTTGTAAGAATCAAATGTGTAAATTAATAGACTTACAAATAGATTGAGAGGTAATCAACAAATCATCGGTGACGTAACAATCTCCTCTATTTGATGATGACATCTGATACTTTAACTACAAGAGCATAATTAAAACTTTATAAGTTCTTTAATCATTTCTTTACTCTTTCGGAGTTTTTTTTTTCACATAGACCATTCTTTTTCAAAAAAAAATTTTGGATTTGTTAGAGTGTTCGACATATACACACAAATAAACAATGAAACTAAAATGAATGAAAACTATGTACAGTGTAAGAAATGAAGTAAAGAAACTTATATTTACTTTGGGAACAAAAGATTATAAGTACAATAAATATAAGCGAGTAACATAACTTCAAGATTCGGGGTCTTGGAAGGGAAAAAGGGGATCTTCGGCATCTCTATTCTTCAACCCGGTCATTAGAAGAATGTAGAAAGTCTTATCGTCTTCATCAAATAGCACGACATTTAGCATTGCTTGTAGAAAATGGCTATCAACTCGTCATTGATGACCTATATATATATATATATATAGGTGGAGGTTCAAACGAGAACCCCTGTGATTTACGAGAATGCGAGAACAATCTAATAACCTCAAACTTTTTTAATTAATAAGTTAACTTATATTAAATATAAATAAATTAATAAGGGCAGTAATGTAATTAATTAATTTTATAAATTTTATTTAATTTAATTAGTCATAATTATCCCTTTTTTTCCTGCACGTTCTTTTCCACTCTCTCCTCTCCCCTTGTGATAATTGTGTGATTGTATAACCATAACCTATTGAAACCATAATCAATGAAGTGTAACCATAACCTATCGAAACCATGAGTAATCGTTGTGATAAATGTGTGATTGTCTAACCCTAACCGATTGAAATTATGATCAAATTTAGTGCGCAAGTGATGTTATAATAGTGATATCACATGATTATCACACCCATATCACACCAAATCGTTTAGTGGATTTCGCCCGTAATCGTTGTGATAAATGTGTGATCGTCTAATCCTAACCAATCGAAACCATGATCAAATCGAGTGCGCTGTTATGATAGTAATATCACATGATTATCACACCCATATCACACCAAATCGGTAGTCGATTTTCTAAGTTAACCCTAGCCGAGCGGAATCCTTGTGATAATTGTGTGATAATCACATGATTATCACACCCATATCACACCAAATCGTGTTGATATAAGCGATAATGTGATAATTGTGTGATAATCACATGATTATCACACCCAAATCGTGTTGATATAAGCGATAATGTGATAATTGTGTGATAATCACATGATTATCACACCCATATCACACCCAAATCGTGTTGATATAAGTGATAATGTGATAATTGTGTGAT